TGTGTGTGTGTAGGGTTACTAGATAATATTTAAGCTTGCTCACAATTCTAAAGTTCTATGATCTAAGAATCTGGATTTGGAGATATGGACAAACTATTTTCTAACAAAGACTGAAGTATATGTTTGTGTGTTTTGCTTTAAACAAAACTTGGGTGTTCAAATCTTGCCAATTTAATCATACCATTTAAGATGTGTTTTTTAAAGAATGTAATTTGTTTGACTCAACATTGTCACTGCCATAGTAATAATTAAGTCAGATTTTTTTATGTGAACAGAAATATGTTAATGTTGTGAGCTTAATAGTAAGCTTTCAATTTTAGAGAGTTCACATTAAAGAATTAAAAAGAAAATATGTAATTTTGACACATCAACTGCATTCAGTCAAAACAAATTTAATTTACAGAAAGGCAAATTAGGCATCTAAAGCATAATGATAGTTAAAGCATTCCAGTCATCTAAAATCAGTAGTAAGCCATCTGGCTAACTATATTTATTTCAATATAATGAATCTTACACAAAGATTTTTACATTTTTGTAACTCATGCATAATGAAGCTAGCAGCAAAAAGACTGAGACATCATAAACTTCATTCTGGAGGAAACTTCATTTGTGGTTTCTTATCAATATGTTTAAATCCTTTCTACATGCTACATTTACCACATACTTCATAGATGTGCCTTCCCTCTCCTATTTAGAGAAAGATTGTGAAAAAGAACATTTTCTGCATGTTCTTCCCAAGCTCTTTTCTACTTTGAAACAGCAAGTGCTGCCAGCAGAAACTTCTTTAAGAAAAATATATTAAAAAAAAAAAAAAGACCTCGCCTGGACAGCTACTGGCTGTGGTAGAGGGAAAGAAACTTGTTAGTACTTCCTTTTCTCTCTCCCCCTTTATCCTCCTTCACCACCTAATGATTTGCACCCAGTCTCCCTCTAGCTTTCCCTCCCTTCTACTTGCCCTGGCAAAGGGAGGGGGTGAGAGTGAGGATAGCAGGGAAAGGTGCAGAATTGTCATCGTTTTTCAATGCCTCTCCTAACCTGTGGGGCATCTGTTATGAGGAGAAACCTAATCCTCTTTCCCTTGGACCAAACATTCTGAAGTCCCAAACATGACGGTTGAAATGATAATAAAAATAATGTATTTCCATTCAAAGAGAAGATACATACAATATCTTATTTGATCTTTACATATACCTTTATATATTTCATCTGTACCTTCACTCTATTATTCCATTTGTTTCTCCAGAAACCCTAGGAGGTAGGGCATAACTATCCCCATTTTACAGATTAAAACAAACAAAACAAAACAAAACAAAAGGTCAGAGATTAGATGATTTGCTCATGATCACAGATATAAATTTGAGCACAATCTTATAAATTAGCTCCCTCTCCTCCTCTCTTTCCTTCATTTTTTTTTCTATTTTCTTGGATATGCATGAAACCTTCCTCAAAGTATGCCTTTTCTCTCTAATGAGAAATTGCCAAAGAAAAATTGTTGAGGGATTTAGATAATTTTAGTAAATAGGGGGAGACATCTCAAAGATGAAGAAAGGTAGCTGAATGAAGCAGAGAATCAGAGTTCAATCAATATTCACTATTAGAAACATTATTAGATGACCAAGTCTGGCCCAAAAGAGAACTGCATACTATGCACCATCCCCTCTTCATTGCAGAGCTAGAGGTCTCCGAATTTAAAACATTGAATATAGTATCAGATATGGTCTGAGTATTAGTTGGCTTTGCTGAACTATCTTCCTCCTTTTTAAAATCTTTGTTGCAAGAAAAGTCTTGCTGGTTAAGGAAAGAGGAATAATATATTTTGAAATAAATGAAACACAAAAATAACTAGCGTCAATAAAAAGCATTATTATAAGAAATAGTAGCATTGGTAATAATCTTACTATAATACTATGGGATGTTTTTAAAATAAATATCCTATCAGGTAAGGTGGTTGAAATGAAACATCATTTCATGGGAAAAAAAATAAATTGTGGGGCAGCTGGGTAGCACAGTGGATAGAGCACTGGCCCTGGAGTCAGGAGGACCTGAGTTCAGATCCAACCTCAGACACTTAACACTTGCTGTGTGACCCTGTGCAAGTCACTTAACCCCATTGCCTAGCCACCCCCAAAATAAAATAAATTGCACCCCAACTTACAAAAGAGAAAGATATCTGGCCAGAAATTGTCCAACTGGAGAAACTGAGAACATTTGCCAACCACAAATTTTGGTTTCATGGAACAAAAAAAACAAAACAAAACAAACCCAGACTCTGAAATGATATAATGGTTTAAGAGGTCATTCTGTAATCTTTTGGGGTCTCATATTATTAAGGATATATTTTTGGATCTCTTGAAAACCACAAACTCATATTTCCCTATAATCATTTTATTATGTGTTAAGTCATATTTGAAATAATGCTGAATAAATTTGGCTCAAGATATATTGTTTGTGTCAGTATCAGTTTTTTTTTTTAACCTCCAAGCCCTCCTAAATTAGAAACTTAATTATAAGTTAGTAAATTCCAACACCAATCTGCACTATAGTCAACCTTTCAGGATTCCTAGTCTTTTGGGTGAATACTGCTGTCAATTCACTTTGCCCAACTCGGTTGTTCCTACTACCTACTCCCAACTAACTAGTTCCTACTAACCATCCCAGTTTCAGATTTAATTCCCTCACATATTGAAAGACGTTGTTAAAATATTTACATGACAATTTTGTTGTATATTTGAATGAAATAGCAAGATGTGTGTAGATTTGCAGTTTCACTACAAGCATCTTTCTTGTACTACATTATGGAAATGTTGTTTTAGTCCATAAATTAAAAATAAAACTCAAAAAAGAAAGATATTGTTGCTACAAAATAAATAGTTGTCAGTATTTCATGTCATATGTCAATTTTGCTTTATTCTCATAAGCACTTTTTTTTTTTTGCTGTAGAAGGATTTCTGCAGTTGCAATGGTTCTTGATCTTGAGTCAAAATAATGAAATCTGGGGCCTGAAAGAGTCCCTAGGAGAAGTCATCTGGTGCCAAGTCTTCATTTAACAGGTGAAACCACTGAGGAGCAGAGAAGTCAAATAATTTGGCTATGCTACATAACTAGTTCATGATGGCAGAGACAGGACTGGAAGTCCCTCGACTCAAAGTTCAGTGCTCTTGCTTCACCTCACATTCTCTTTAATAGAGTTTTACTTTTCTTTAAATTTCCATCCTTATACATCTTTTACCAAATTCTTGGGAGAAAGGTCTTTAAGGCTCAACAGCACTTCACCATTTTAGCGAGCTTAGCAGTGATAGTCGATAATGAGACTATGACTAGTCCCCAAAGCTTTTCAAAACTAGAACTTGAAACTCGGAATTAACTGAGATTTATCTCTGACCTAAGATAACACTCCTAGTCCCTCCACACTTTTATGGGGTTGCTAATCAAAAATGTAATATGGAATCCTAGTTGCGCAGCTGGCAGTTAAGCAGCCCTAAACACTTTAAAGGCACTTCATTATCATGGTGTTCTTACCGAAAGAAAAGCAATTTTTTACAATATGAATTTCCATAAGCAAGACACTCAACATTTCTCCTTCATTATATTTAATAATGGGCTACAACGAATGGTTAGTAAAATGATGTACATAATGTCCTACTGGTTATTGCGTTTCCCCTCCTCCCTTCCCAAACAGGACTCTGCTCTATACTTGTGACTTTTACTCAGAATGAATGTAGAAGGAAGTGGAAACGGGGAGTAGAGGGTAACCAAGGAAGTTGTCAGCTAGGACATTTTGCTTATTTCAGGTCAGATTTTTGCTTAGGTTTTCCTATTATGTTTCCCCAGACCGTCAGTCATCACACTGAATGTCTTGCTTTGCTCGGATTTATCACTCTCCTGTGTTTACAAGAAGCTAGAGCTCTCACAGCTTCCTCCTCCCCTCAGCCCAACCTCCTCTGGGCACATACTTTGCTACAGACTCACATTCCTCCCTTGCATCAGTCCAGGGGAAGAATGGAGCACCACTGGAGCACTGAATTGTCCCGGACAAACTGACAAGAGAAGGCAGGACTGGGCAAAGGCGCAGCTTGGGAGGCTGAGCCTGTGGGAGGAAGCTGGGAGGGCAAATACACTATTTAAAAAAAAAATAAATAAAAGGTCTTTTCCTTTTTCAGAAATCTTTTCCCTCATGGACCAAGGCTTCTCTTAAAACGACCAAAAAATTCTGTCTTGTGACAGTGAAAATGATCCAGGACAAAACAAAGTCAAAGCTGCAATTGTCGAAACAGACTCACGCTCTATTGGCCGGGGGCTACGTCCTCTGGAAGCCCTAAAAATAATATAGTGAAGTAAAATAAAAATGCACCCCCAGGCGTTGCCAGTTTTAGCCTGTCAAATTAGCTGATGGGAAGGAGAAGGACGTCCAAACAGTGCGAGAGCAAGACCCGGCGGCGGTAAATTGCAACCACAGCTGAACAAGGACTGGAATCCAACATGTAAACTGCATTCACACAGCCCTGCTGGGGGGTGGCTGAGGGCGGGGTGGGGAGGGAGGGTGGACAGTGAGGCTGAAATGCAGAGAACGCGCAAACTAGACAGCGGAGACTGGGCTGGAAACACACACACACACACACACACACACGATCCAAACAATGTGAAGGCGGAATCCACCCTCCTTCCTCTGCACAACCTGGCCACGAACACACTGCCTGCGCTCCAGTTTGTGGGTGGGGAAGGGTTCGCTGTTCACTACTCCCTCCCGCCTACCCGGCACAGTCAACCCAAACCATCTCCACCCTTCTCACCCTCAGTGAGGGACAGCTGCAAAAGAGGAAGTCCCACGGCCGGTTGCTATGGCATATTGATGCTCTTTGGCTTTCACACCTGGCGAGCTTTAGAGGGAGGGGTGTAAGAGTTAGGCGAAGGGGCAGTCATCCCTGCTGCACCCCATTCACAGTCCCCTTCCTTCCCCTTTCTAACTTTCTCAATCCAGCGCCCCCTCTCCCCTTCCTTACCCAAGTACTGCCGCAGGTCGAGCAGGAAGCTCGGGGGTCCCCCGTTGAGCTGATAGAAGAGGGATCCCAGGCAGAAGACGAAAAGGGTGGCCATGCAGAAACCGTAATCCCGGAGGGAGAAGCGCAGGAAAGGCAGCAAGGAGCCGGGGCGTTTCCAGCTGCCCGGCCCCGGAGGGGCTCCCCCCTGGGGGGCCACATGGGTCCAGGGGTCGGTGCTGCTGTGGTGCTGCTGCTGCTGCTTCTTCTTCATCGCCTGCTCCGCCGCCTCAAACAGTCTGCCCCTGCCAGGAAAGGGTCACCCATCCGCCTGCGAAGAGGAGAGCTTCGGCTGGGAGGCTGCACATGGAGAAAGACAGGACAAGGCGCACGGGGAGGGAAGCACGGAAGGAGAGAGGCCAGGGAAGCTGGGGCACCGCTGAAGTTTGCTGGTGCTACTCAGGAGACTTTCCTCTCCATCGCTGCTGCCGCGGCCGCCGCCGCCGCCTTCACTGCCAAGAGTGTCCCTGCACCCTCAGGCTCCGGGGCGCTGCTGCCTACCTTCCGAGGCTCCTCCGCTCCGTCCTAGGCGCCGAGTTCCAGACCCTCTTTTCTGGCCGGGTCTCACTGCTCCCTGGCCCGCTGGCTCCTATCCCCAGCCCCAGCCCCCAGGGCTCGCCTCCAGCGCCAGCGCCAGCGTGTGGCCCCCTGCTTTGTGTCGAGTTCAGCGTGTTTTGTCCCCGTTCAGGCTCCTCGGAAGAACGGCAGGGACGAACAGGAGGCGGACACCCTCTCCCTCGCTCCACCTCCTTGACAGGGGTTTTCCTTCTCCTCCTCCTCCTCCTCTTCCACCTCCCCTCTTCTCCCTTCTCGCCCTCTCTCCTCTCTCAGCTTGTGTCTCAGGGCTTCGTTTCGGTGTCACATTACTGCCTTGGAGCAGGGGAGGGGGAACGTCATTTTTCCGCTAGGAGGAAGAAAGTTTCTCGGGTTTGGGTTTTGTTGTTGTTGTTAGTTCCCCCACCCCCACCCCACCCCCTTCCTTTCCCCCTTCTCTTCACTCTGATCTTGGTTACCGCGCCACCAGCGACCTCTTGGGGGCTCTGCTGACTTCCCTCTCATAAACCGTCTTGGGGAGTAAGGGCCTCAACTTCAAAGAGAAAAAAAGGATGTTTTCCAAACCCAAGAAGTTCATTCTCTTGCCTACCGCCTGCGAGTTGCCTAAAAGGAGACCAGAGACGAAAGGAGACTTCGTTACTGGGATGGAGAGAAGAAAAGATAGTCAAGCATCCTTGGCTGTAGTTAAACAGCATCCTGTGGGGGATAGAGGTCATGAGGTCTCGCTGGAAATTCCATGAAGGAAGGGAGATGAAAGAGAAAAAAAAGGAATTAGGGGAGAGAATATCCTGTTTTTATTTTCCTCCTACCCTTCCTATCCCCCTCCCCCTTCTCGGTCTTCGTATAGCTCATTCACCATGCAGGGACAAATGGGAAAGGGAAGTACCTTGCTCAAGCATGCGGAAGCAAAGGAAAAAGAAGCTCATGCATTCCCGGCTGTCAAAAACATGCACCCATATTTCTCCATCCATCTCCTTTTTCCCTAGGAGAAGGGAAAGACAATAGTAAAGAAAACAAAGGGAGCTGCTACACCAGAAAGTCCATTCATGATAGACCACTTAACTAAGAGTCGTTTTCCTTCAAGGAGAAAGAGAAATGTGTTTGATGATGTAGAGAAAGAAACCCTGCAAACCTAGACACATCAAATTAGGAAGTCATTCATGAAGAGACCATTTTCAGATCATCGCCAGTTCAAGTGAGCCCTTTTGGTTCATAATTTGGAAGATAAGGAGACAAGCTACATGGTCATAAATAGATAGGTACTTCTTTAGGTCACACAATGTACAAATAGCAGCTGCTGCTTTCAGCCTCCCTTCCAATCAGTTTTCCAATCTACTTTGTTCATTCTGGCAGAGATATAGTTAATGATTTCATATATACCCTGGGGAGGTAGCATGTTTGATGGAAAGAACAACTGGCTTAGGAGTCAGAAGCAGTAGCCAGGGAGGGACACTGGCCCAGAAAGTTACAGCTATGATTTATGGGGCCATAGGGAAATAGATCAACACACTCCATTCAGGAAAAATGACAGTTATGCCACCTTTTGCATGTAGTCATCACTGAAAATATGTTTCAACTGAGTCATGTCTACAGTACATCTCTTCATTGTTCTTTGGGTCACCTGAAACTGCTTCTTTAAATATTGCAGTGTTGCAAGATTCATAACTATACAGCACCACTGGACATTTATGTCAGAAAGATGAATTGTTGTGCTAAGGAGAAACTTGGGATCAGTAAAAGCATTGTGTGTTTTCCCAAATGCAATTCAAATTGTTCTCTCCCTCCTATTTTTCTCAGAGCTCAATTCACTGTCTATCTGCAGTGCCTATCCCCTATTTCTTTACTGATGCTCTAACTTGATGGGCTAGCCATCCAACTACATCTTAAAGTCTCAACAAAAGGAAATGTTCTGGTAATACTCCCTCTGACTTTTGTTTCTCAACTCATACAACCACTGGACAGTTGGGTCCCCAGAGGGGTAGCAGCTACTACTCTCAGGATTCTAATGGTAATCTTTTATTGGTGGTTATTCTCCCAAATGCTAGTTCATGAGCCCCTACCAGTGTGTCTCCCCTTAGCAGTCAGCTGATAAATTCAATTCTGTAGCAATGTCATGTAATCAAGTGGCATAGTAAGAAGAGTAATTACAAATCATTTCACCCAGGACCAAGGGCATATTTTCCCACATATATACCCAGGTTCCAAAAGCATGTCGGAGTGGGCAGGAATCCAAAGTACGATGGTAATGAAGCATATGGATAGGGGACCCACAATGCCAAGGCAACTTATAATTCCTAAACTGTAGGACCTGGATGTCCTATCTCTTGCTAGAGGGTCCTCACAATGTTTACTACAAGTCACTCTGCTATTCAGTTAAACTGGATTCACAGGGCACAGTGTCTCTGCTGGACTGGTAGTTCATCTGAGCTAGTTCCTCCTAGGGCATGATATCTCTACTGAGTGGGCCAACCTGCTACTGTGCAGGGCTGGTTAGATCACTCAGTGACTGTATTGGCTCCTGACCAAAGCTCCAAGCCCACTAGACCAGGCTGGGCAGGCAACTCAGCTGTTGAGTAGAAGCTACCTGGATGACCAAAGAAGATGGCTTGGCTCTGTGCTGATACATTGATCTGCTGGTCTCCTGAGCAATCATTTTCTATCTTTAAATCACTGGCCAGGCAAGGGGGTACCATCCTCTGAGATGGCTTGTCACCTCCAGCAAGAGATTGGAGGAGATTTGACGCTTCTTTTGAAAAATTCTTCCTTGCTCAAAAGACTCCTTTCCTCATAAACCACTCTATATTCCCTTAGGGTAAATAGTCTTTTTTTTTTCTCCAATCATACTATTTGGGAATATTATGGTGGATGAGGGACTAGGGACCACTTTGTGACTACAGTCTTTGCCTGGATACATGTTCATTGTCTTGTTGTCCTCTTCATAAGCAATTAAAGTATCCAAGCCACCTAACCTTTCTAGGATGAGGAATGTCTATTTTGCATTACCTTCCAAAAGTCTCAGTGTTTTAGCCTCAGTAAACTTTCAACTTTTGCTGAAGTCTCCAGGGGCACACCCCTTTCCATTCATTCATTTATTTTCTTCCAATCCAATATGGATTTTGGGCCATTTTTTTTCAAATGATCATGGGTAATAATATTAATACTAATAATAACATCTATTTATATACCACTTTGTTGTTTTCTAATAACTATATATACATATACATACTTGTACATATATACATACATATACATACATACACGTATACATAATCTCATTTGATTCTCACAACTACCCTTTAAGGTAATCATTAATTTCATTTTACATATGAGCAAATATAGCTCAGAGAGAATAAAATGATTTACCCAGGGTCACACAGCTTGTTTTAGAGGCAGGATTTAAGTCTAGGTTCTTCTGACTTAAAGACCAATACTCTTTTCACTACCCAATGGAGGCCCTGTAATCTTCTGGTGTTTGATTCAATCAACAGAGAATCATTCATGAATAAGAACATCCAGAAGATTTCACTATCTGTAATGAAGGTTCTTAAACTTTCTAGTGCCATGGCCCAGGGAAATCCCATAGACCCCTTCTCAATGGTTTTAAATAATTGAAGGAAATTTCAAATTTCAATTAGAAGTTAGTAAAAATCAAGTTGCAATTTTTTGCCATCCAAGTTTATATACATCTAACAATTAGAACTGTTCAAAAGTACATAGAAGTTAGTGAGTTTCCCCTTACTGGAAGCCTATAAAAATCATGACCAGATGACCACTAAAGGGGATATATTTTGAATGCTATTCACATTTTGGGTATGGGTTGTATAAGATTATCTTTGAGATCCTTTCCAAATCTCAAATCCTCTGAGTCTATGAGGGAATACCCCTGAGAAAATGAAGGTAGTCCAAGCCATGATCTAAAAGTGGAAGTAGAATCCTACACTAAAGTCAAAGAATTTCTCAGAGATGATCAATCCAGGGACCAGAATAACATTCATGAGAAGCAATCTAGTGCAGGTATGGATTCTGGAGAGTTGAAAGAGTTGTGAGAGGTCTATAAGAAACAAAGTCAGAAAGGTTTTATTGAAGTTAAAGCACCTTGCTAGATAATAGTTTGCCTCATACTACTTCTCTACCCTATACAGTCTTTTGTGGGTTTTGCCCCCATCCTCTTTTCCTTCTATATATACTACCCATGATTTTACATTGTCCCAAGCCATTCAGGGAATTTTACATTATCCCAGACCACATAATTTGTCCTTCCCTTATGAGACTAAGACACAGGCAAACTAATCAAAACTAAGTCTGGATTGATGAGGAAGTAAGGAAGAGGGGAATAAGTGAGAAGTTACATATGCATGCCCCAACATTTCACTCCGATTTCTACCAAAAAGACTCAAAATCCAGAACCTATTTTCTATGGCAAGTTTTGATCTAGTGTTAATAGTATTGAGGCTGCCCTGATTATTCTCTGGGATGTGATGGTTGTTTGCTCCTATAGCTTTTTGGCTACCCTTCAAAAATGCTTTGCAAAGCCTGGACAATTTTTCTGTCAGCAGATGGAGGAGGTGTATGGCATGCCCATCAGAGACTAATGGCGTCATTAGTTGCTAGGAGAGTTGGAGAGGGAAGAATTTGGGTGTTATATCAGTTTCAACATGTGTCATAGGTCATAATACAAAGCAATGACATTTATAATGATGAAAGCACTAGCTTAACGTTTTTAACTGACAAGGGCTTTAGGGAAGAAGAATTGAGATGTT